TGTCCTTTTGTGCACAGGTACCATGGCTATGCTCATTATAGGAACAGAACAAACAAATTTCACTTACATTCCATATGTACATGGATCTGTCATTGACCGGTAGAAATAGCCTCCGGTGATTGAAGCAGATCCTTCCTTTTTGTTTACTTCAGAATGGTTGTATCCCATGACTGGAAAAATTGGGTTAATGGAGTTTGCAGATGTGTTTCCTCCAGGTGATGATTGAGGAAGGAACTCGGAAGGACCCTCGTAAACACGCCAGCCATAATTTCCACCCTTGGTTATGATATCCACTTCTTCATATAGGTCCTGTTATATCATGATGATAAAAAGTGCTTATCATGTTCAAAATCCACAAACTGATAAAATCGTTCTTTACCATATTGAAACCCAGAAATTTATTATGCTTACAAAATGCATCTAAATTGAAAAATCAAGCTACTAACTGAACACAGACAGAACAATAAGCGAGAACCAAAGTAGTTTTTGTTTAGCTGGTATAATACAAGTTACCTTAGTACTAGCCACTATTATGTTGTAGTTTTAAAACTTAGTATTCAACAGATTATATGCTGTACCAGAAAAAACTTGCACTTCCTAAAGCTTAAGACAAACTTTGGTAACCTAAATAGTGCATATTATTAGTACTGTTTTTTGTGCACCGAACAAAGTACAGAACAGTACCTTTTTTACTGTGTCAATGTTATACTAATTGCTACCAAGAAAGTCTATCAAATAATACCTACAAAGCCTACCAAAAAATACCTATATTGGTGCAAAGCAGAGGACAAAAATCCTCGAGTTCTAGCCACATGAGAAAATTTTAATTCTCACGTGCTGCATCGTTAGATCTTAAATTGGAAAATTTTTCTATTTAAGATAGTAGTAGTTGTGGTAATTAAGGTTGTAATTTATGCGTACTTGAAAGCTACTAACCTAGAGAACTGCAAATAATGTTGAACTGAGAATTTTCGCAAGGGTTTTATTCTGCGTTTTATCTCTTCTTTGTTCTTTCCTGTGATTCATGTTTTTTCTACCTATCTATGTAGTATATTGCTCTCAATAATATTACCTTAATCCCCTTATTTCTAAGTCTCAGTTATTCCTCTATTTCTCACATAATTTTCTCTGATTCTCTATTTTTGTCCCTAACTTCTAATAAGTTGGTTTTTCAAATTATACTTGTCTTACATCAAGTACTATCAGAGTCTAATTTTGATAAGAGATGTAAGGGTGGTCATGGGCCTTTCACATAAGGAAAGAGTACTGTGTTAGAGTAATCATCCACTGGAGAAAGTAAGCAGCCAGGTTAGTCACAACCTTTTAACAGATACAATTTTGAGTGCACCAATGGTCATACAAAAGATAAGTATTTAAAGCTTCACGGAAGGCCACAAATCCCAAATAAAAATGGAACAAATAAAAATGGAACACGGAGGAGCGGACAAGGAAGAGGACAGGTTCAAGCTCATATGGTCAGAGTGCAGTCAACCAAAGATAACAACAACTCAGATATACCACTTGAATTCAACAGAAATGAGATTGAGAGATTGAAGAACTTCTTGGGGTCACTAGAAAAGCATTCATCTTCAGCAAGTACTTGTAATCTAGCTTTTTCAGGTATATCATATCCTTCTTACACGATCTTTTCCTCCATAAAATTTATCTCGTACACACCCTGTCATAGTAATAAGAAGATCGTCTAAAGCTGATGGTTCTGTCACTATTGTTGCCGGTCAAGGAGATATTTTTATTAGTAATCCACTTACACTGGAAAATGTCATCCATGGCCCGAAATTGGTCATGGTCCTTGTGTCTATCCAAAAAGTGATCATACATGCTAATTGCAGTGGGATATTTTTTATCCCTCTCATTTTGTATTGCTGGAATAGGGTATAAGGAAGATGATTGTACGTGCTAGAAGAGAGATGGCCTCTACTATTTGAAGAACCAAGTGAACAATGCAGAGTTGGGGACCAGTTCACTTTGTTATTCCTTACCGAGTCATTTAAATCCAATAAAGATAAGATCTGGCTTCATTATCTTAGTCTTCATAATCTGTCATTTAATTTTCTAAAAATTTTGTTTCCTTCATTGGTCATTATAGTAACGTGTGTGAACTCACTAAGCTCAAACTTTCTGTTTTTCCAATAAGCAATAAAAGAACATTTATTCTATTTACTCTTATTTATAGAAACATTTGGGAGTATTCTACTGTACCTAAATTTCTGGGACTCATTGGTTTATTGAGAATTGCACTCATATGATGTGGATTTTTCTTTTAAAAAATAAATCGGATGTGAGTCTTGTGTTTGAAAAGTATTTCAATATGATCACGATATAATTTGGAGTGGGATTTAGATGTTTCCGATTTGACAATGTCAAGGATCATTTCAGTCAAACCCTCTGTCCATTCTTTGAAGAACACGATATCATTCAGGAGTTATCTTATATTAGCACTTCTTGATAAAATGGAATAGTAGAACGAAAAAATATCCATGTTTTTTGCAAGTTATCCAAGCCTTTCTTTTCCAAAAACAAGTTCCAAAAAAAATTGGGGAGAAGCCATGTTAACTGCAGTTCACGTCATAAATAGACTTCCCATGGGGATGCTTGGTTTTCAGAGTTGCACACAAGTTTTTGTGAAGTTCTACCCCAATTTCAATGTTCCTAAAAATCTTGTTCCAAAAATATTTCTTTTTGTTGCATTTGTTCATGTCCATTCTCTACATAGGGGTAAGCTTGATCCAAAAGCTTTCAAATGTGTACTTGTTGATTACTTATCTATTCAAAAGAGTTATAAGTGCTATCATCCTCTCACATGAAAATTCATGTCGGCCACTATCACTTTCATTGAGGACAACCAATATTTTCACAATCCTTATCTTGAGGAGAAGATGCCATTCATGAAAGATATGGATACAAAATCTTGTCCTTCTTGGGTTAACTGTGCCTAAGCCATCCTCATCCATTCCTGTCCAGTCCAAGTCTGTCCCATCCGTAAATTTGGTCCAGTCCAATTATGTAATCCCTACAGTTTCAGCAGAAAGTGATCTATCTTCCACCCCCATAGCCAGAAAGTAAACCACACTCATCTCGAGTATTTTGCTAAGGTTCATTCAAGAAAGAAATGACCATTCTCTCAACTGGTGTGGCCAAAACCTTTTACTGTTGAGCTAAGTACTCCAACCACTTCTCCCAATTCTAATATTCCATATATCCGAAAAGAAAATGATCATGAAATCCCCGTAGCCTTTAGAAAAGGAACTAGGACTTTCACCTAACACCCCTTTTACCTTTTCATGTCCTATAAGAAGCTATCCTATAATCATAGGGCCTTTCTTACCAGCCTTAATAGCACTGCTACTCCTAAAACACTATCCAAGACACTAAGAGATGAGAATTTGAGGAATGCCATGAGAAGTGGAGGGGGGGAAGGAGGATGAAGGCTCAATAACAAACAAGCCATAGGATTTGGTGAAATTGCCGTAAGGAAAAAAAAGAATAGTTGAGTGTAGATGTATAAGGCGAAATTGGTTACCAAAAGTTATACACAGACTCATGACCTAGATTATCTTAAGACATTTGCTCTAGTTGTAAATAACATGGTAAGGGTGTTATTGTCATTAGTAGCCAAATTTGGATGGAGATTGCAGCAATTTGATGTCAAAAATGACTTCTTACATGACAATCTTGAAGAAAAATCTATATGAAAGTTCCTCCAGGATTCGGTGCTATAAATGAAGAAGGAGTAGCATCCAAGTTGAAAAAGACATTATATGGACTCAAACAATCTTCGTGAGCTTGGTTTGGAAGGTTCACCAAAGTCAAGCTAAGTCTTGGATTCAGACAGAGTCAAGGCGATCATACCTTGTACACGAGACATTCAGCTTCAGGGGAAGTTACAACATTATTTGCTTTATATGGATGACATAATAGTAACTGAAGATGATATGAAAGGAATTGAAAAGTCAAAGAGATGTTTGGAGAAAAATTGAGATCAAAGATCTTGGTAAATTGAAGTACTTTTTTGGCATAGAAGTGGCACACTCTCAGTAAAGGATTTCTATATCTCAACAGAAGTGTGTGATTGTTCTCCTAAAGGATATAGGTAAACTAGGATGTAAGCCAGTTGACACGCCCATAGAGTTCAACCATAAGCTGAGTGATCTGCCACAAGATGTTGCAGTTGATAGAGGTAATTATCAACGACTTGTTCAAAAAAAAAAAAGAGTTCTTTATCATCTTTTCTACATGGGTGACACCCCCTTGGTACCTACTCTAATATATTTTTCTACTTTCTATCTCAGAAAAAAAAAAAAGTTTTTTATCACACGTAAATGGCCCTAATTCTAATACCATAGAATGGACTAAATTTGTCAGTAAACAAGATAAGTTGAATATTTATAATATGTTAACTGAAAAAAGAGAAACTGATTTTAAACCTGTCCAACATCTGCACACATGAAGTAGGAGGGTCTTTCTAAATCAAAGCTGCATCGCCAAGGATTTCTTAATCCTAGTGCCCAAATTTCAGGTAGCAATTCAGCATCTTCATTAAATGGATTGTCTTTCGGAATAGAGTAGTTTCCCCATAAACCAAGTCTGTCAATTTCCGTGGCACCTATCAATACATGGCTACCAGTCAGTGGAAAGACACAGCAACTGTCACAACAAAGCAGGTGAATGACACTCATGAGCAGGAAAATATGCACTTGGTAGCACATTATGTTCATAAAATATATGGAAAAAATATGCTGATAACTGCAGAAACCAACAACCACATGCTGGTACTCACTTGGTATATTGTCGATATCTAGCCGCATGATCTTTCCAAGTAATGATTTCTTGTTTTGGGAAAAATTGAGTGGATCGCCACCTCTACCGCCACCATCTCCCATCATGAAGTACAAATATCCATCTGAAGGACCAAAAAGTATCTGTCCAGCATGATGAGATGTAAATGGAAGCCCCATAGTAAAAATTCTTCTCACTTCTGATGGTTTGGCACTTTTTGCCTGCAAGAGATACTGATTTAGACCATTGAACTAGAATAGCAACAAGAAGTTTTGTGTGTATGGATGTGTACCAAGGAAGGCTCGGATGCGGTACCATTGGCTGTATATTCTGCAATTACACTTTGAAATTGGCATGGCTGAGCACCATTTTCTGAACCTAATTTTGAAGGGTCACAATCTACATCTGAATTACATGAACACCTTCCAGTACACCCTGGCCACTGAACCTTATCACAGTTGAATGAAGCAAAGAATCGACCATTTTGTGTGAAGTTTGGATGAAATGCCATACCCATCATCCCAAATAGAGTATCAAAATGCACTTCATCTGTTAGATCTACAAATGGGTTGGATTCATCCAGGCCCATCACTTCACCTGATCCCTGTTCTGGTATAGTTGCCAACCAAATGTTACCCTGTTGGTTAGAGAAGAATGCACGGTTGGAACCATCAGGGTGAGCAACCATATTGAGATAAGATCCATTTCCAATTTTCTCAAGGCACAAGCCATGTGGGGGACTAGGTGGCTGAGTGCCATTTAGTTTGACAGGCTCACCATCAAAGCATAAGGATTCATTAGTAGATCCGCCACCAAATGCATGGCAAAAGTCAGTTTTGGACTGCCAGAAGTCAGTCAGTTTGGTCATGGTGGAATTGACTGGAACTCCAGCCTGACCTTGTAACAAGGGTGCAAATGGGGAATTGAAGATTGACACATTTTGACATGTATCCCATACCACAGAGCAGAAATCTGTGGGCTCAGATAATTCTCTTGAGATGGTGGAGTTGCAGAGTAATGGAACCATCTGGGAACCAGAATCAACTCTAAATAGCTCTGCTGAAAATGGATCACATCTCTGTAACCGCAATAACAAATAAATAAGCACAATCCTAGGACTATTTTCATAATTTTTCTTTTAAAGACAAGGACTTTTTCCATAATAATAAAAGAAAAAAAAATAACACAAACCACCAAAAAGGAAGCTCCCCATGCGATCATTTTATGTGCTTAATGCAGGGGGGAAAAGATGAAGATTTCTGCCTTGAAAGTAAAATCTAAAGTTCTTTAATGAAAATGAAACATCTGAGAAAGGATATTAAATACAAAGAAATGGCATCACCTAATTTTATCAACATTTGGAATAAAAAGGCCAAGAGACATCATTTGGCACATTTCATATGTTGAGGTTGGTGAATATGGTAGTTTTTTTAATAAAAATGGTAAATATAGTAGTTGGTTTACAGGAATAGAAATTTATATAATCTGTTCATATATTTTTAACGCATAGTAAGCTGGCTATCAACTGCAGTTTGATTCCCACTCTGAGAGAATAGACTACAAATCAAGCTTTAAACATATACCCTCAAGGTGTGCTTCAGTTGATATCATTTCCCTTTTCCTATCAAACTGAAAATTTGAACTTCATTTGATACTTACTCACCAGATAATATTGCTCTATTTATTCCACTAAAATGTTTCCTAGCTTTCATTTTCTAAATTCATATATGCTTATATATAAAACAAGTAAGGAGGTACTCTATTATAAATAAGAACTGGTTTCTTTAGTGCACTGTAAGAGCTTTCCAATCGTTCCAAATTCAGGACATTTTCAAAATCATTTTCCATTATTGTCCTTATTTTCAACCACCACTTTTTCGTATAAACATATACGATTTTGAAAGACAAAATTTAGAAAATATTTGAATTTATGAAATGAAGCCTAAATATTTAGTTATTACTATATAATCTAAACTTCTTTTATAGCCAACCATCTCCTAAAACCTGAGTGAACATAGACATTGCTTATTTGGAAGTAACTTAAAATTTGTTTGATCGCAAGGAAAAAAAAAAGAAAACTATCAATCTCTAAATTGTTTCTTATCACCCCCAATACATGCTGATAGGATTGAAGAAAACAAAAAAGTAGATTCAAGATTTTTTGTTGTGAGACACGTAAGTAATCAAACCAAGTAAACAGTAGCACAGGCAAACAACCCAGCTGAACAAATGAGTTATTTTGGAAATGTTCTTGAACCTTGGATTTATTGGATGATGTTAACAAACAATTTATGATCAAGTATCACAATAGAAAAGGGTGAATTTTTCTTAAAGGCAACAAGGAAACAACACTACTACGAACAGCTTATCCAGCTAACCTGGGAATCTAATATACAAAGATTAAACCACCAGAATTAAAAGCATAACCAACAAATAAACCATATCTATCCAATACGTATACAAGAATATAACTATGCATGCCTTGCGTTGTAAGAAAAATAATGGAATACAGAATTTAAATTAGTTTACAACAGCCAGATGTTGTTCAAAATGCCAGTGAGGTCAATCAGTTAAGATACAGTGGTTTCTATGCCCACTTCTCACATGCTTAGATAAACAGGCGTTAATGCTTAAAAACCAAGGCAGGATTTGGATTTTGAAATAGGAATAAACATATGTTTCATAAACTATGGGAGAGGTGAAAATATCTTACAGCACAAAGGAGTGATTTCACAAGAGAAGCACAGGCACGATCAGAGATGTTCATTGCTTGAAATTGATTTTCCAATTGCACATCTTCTGTAGAGTTGCAGCATGTCTTCCCATCGTAAGGGCAAAACTCCAGAGTTGTATTCAGGGAAAAGGGTGCCCCTGCAACCAATCAAATCAGAAACAGAAACAAAGGTAACTGATAAATGGAGTTATTATTATTAACAGTAAACCAATATAGCCAGAATTGAACTCACTTGAATCAGTACATAAAGGATGTGAGAAGGAAGGAACAGGAAGAAGAAGCAAATTAGAAACCAGGAAGACAATGGCTAGGATACTCCTCATCATACCAACTAGGCGGTGGAAAACAGATTGCCACAAAATGTCAAGAAGATCTTCCTTATATCTATCCCAAGAGCATAACTATGTAGTTGACCCGGGGATAAAAATAAGATCATTAACAAATAATTGGCTTCCCATTACTAAGTGCTCTTTCTTCGACTCTTTCTCTCTCTATAACTCAGCTTAGGAAAAAAAAAATCATATTCAAACCTTTCTCTTTCCTGGTAGAATTTTTTAATCTTTTTACATCAATTTCAACCCCCTCAGCCCCTCCCTTTTTTTCTCAGTATCAACTTTCTAACTTGGCTTCTAGACGTATCATCCTTTCAGCTCTCTCTCTCTCTCTCTCTCTCTCTCTCTCTCTCTCTCTCTCTCTCTCACGAGCTTTTGACATTTCCTCTATCAAGCTCCATGATTGAACATCACCGCAGGACCTTTATATCAAAGACTGGGGTCAGTAACTGGACAGGCTACGCAGTTGACTTTACCTGTTTTCTTAATCTAAAATGAGGTGGGTGAGAAGAAAAGAAAAACATCCGCTCGTTTGTCAAAAGACCCAAGTTGGACAAATCTTGGTTGATTTGATGTGTACTGTCCTCACATTGATTGCTCTGCAGATTGACCATTTAATTTAACGCTTAAAGACAAAGGCCAGAAAGCATTATGATAGACAAATAAATAACCTAAACATGAACAGAACCCAACTAAAAAAAAGAACTTCTTAAAAGGAGGAAAGAGGAGGAGTACGCCACTGATGACATCAAAAACCAAAAGAAGAAGACGAAGATATGATGATGGTAGATGAGAACTGGAATTAAAAAATATATAAAAACTGTTAAGAGATGAAACAAAAAGGTTTCCCCCACATGGCCGTCATCAATGATAGAAAATGTTATCTCGTGCAATGGATAAAATATATAATAACAGGTGGGGAAAGTCATGCTTATATTTATTTGAAGTGGTGGAAATGGAGCTGCCCTGAGTTGAATTTGGAGATGGAAAATGAAGAAAAAGCTTCTTCGGCTTTTCCTTTTTTTGTTTCTACAGAACAATTTCTTGAAAGTAAAAAAGCTCTTGGCTTTGTTTTTGCATTCAACTTGTGAAGAAGACAAGGTGAGGAGTAGAAATCTATGTATATATATATGTTATATTAACGTCAAACAAATAAATTGAAAGTTTATATATTTAAATTTTTATGGCATCCCTTTTTTATTATTAATGATTAAATGTATTATATGTGAAATTTTCTAGTAAATACAAGATTTTAAGTCACATATTTATTTCTGACATTATGGTATTCTCTTTTTTTTTTTCTCATTCATTAATTATTATTTATTAGTATATGGTGTAAAATATATATTAAAATATTTTCATTTATTTAAAAACTTTTAAAATTTTGTAAATTATAGCATTAGAATACTAAAACTTTTTCCCTATTACCCTCTTATATTGCAAACTCGTCATTGTAAAAAAAAATATATCTAACGGACTAACAAAAACTTCACTTATAGAAAATATACGATCATTATCAATAAAGAAAAGTAAAGTTCAAATTAGAATTGTGTGATTACTATGAAAATATATGAAGCTCTTAAAAATAGTAATATAGTATACTCTCATTGTTATCATAAAGTATACTAATGTGTGGTATATGACTTGAGAAATATTTAAAAATATTAAGACGCACTAAGAATAGGATATAGTTGGTGTGATTTAAGTAATTGACATGATCTCATCTGATACTGAATGCTCTCAAGAAATGAACAGAGTCCTGTGTCATGTGTGCATGATAATAAGACCATTTCAGAATAACTCAAAACATATATCAGATATGCCAGCGCAGTACCTGTTAACACAACTAGGCAGAGGTCCAATCCTGTCTGCATTTCTCCAGACAAAAGTAGAAATCAAGTTCATTAAGCTCAATAACAAATAATTCAAATAAAATTATACCATTAATAACTCGAATTTGATTTTTATTCCCCGCTTCAGGGATTTCTAATGCCCAATAATCATACATCTGGCTCCGATCAACGGTGAAAAGTATTATCATGGATTAACGAAGCTAACAGCTTTTTCCAACTTCATTGGCTATGAACGTGAAAAACATGAAAGAAAGAGTATCAGAGGTTCTTCTTTCTTGACAGAAATTAGTACCCAAAACCACTTCAAACAGCATTATCAGAAAGGGAGTCGGCTTCGTCTTCCTACCACAAAATTAATCTGATGCGAAAGCGACTGTCCCCTCACTGAACACTAAATACAAGTTTGACACGAAACAGGGCACAGTTATCTGCTTCTGCAAGTTTCAAAAGCAAATGATGTTTTTTTCTCTGAACATCAATGATAGTACAACTTTTAATGTTTAACCTAGAAAAGTGACCTCCAGTTATGCCGATCTCAAGAAGGTTCAATACTTTACAACTTCTGCAATGGAGAAAGGAAAAAAGGACTTGGGGCAGCACCGGAGGAAGAGATAGAAGGCTAGTGCCAAACTATAAAATCTTCCGCTCAAACCGTGATAGTGTGTTAAGCAGCTGATCCCTGATTTTATGATGCCTCATCCTTCTGTTTCCCAATCACCTTTCGTAATGTCAGCAATCAGCTGTCAAGCGCACCAAGTGCTTTCATGTCCTCCAGGAAGGCTGAATATGAATCATCAATGCTTTGTGTCTTTGGCCCTGATGATGAGTTTGCCAATTCTGGCTTCACAGCAGCTGGAGCTGCAGGCTTAGGAGTTGGTATCACGGTTGAGAGAGAGGGCTTTGGTTTTGGTTTCAAAGCAGCAGTCTCTCTCCTCACTCGGACAGATGCTGGAACCTGAATTGTTAACACAAAAGACTTTCAGAAAGTATAAAATATTGATGCCAATTATGCATAAAATCCTCATAGAAGAAAATTCAGGTAAACTGTACTCTGATACAGCACCTAAAGTACCAAATTTCAAACTCCTCCATGAATAACCCATTCATACTATTTGTGACAAGGACTTTCAATACACGTCAAAAAAAAAATATACCCAGAGAATATGTTCATAAAGCTTTTTTTTTTTATTTTAAAAAAAAAAAAGGTTCATAAAGCTTCATAATACATCCTAATCAGTTAGCGCACATTATATAGATTTTATTAAAGAGAAAAGCCACACATTTGCCTAGGATAATTGTTTTAGCCACTGTTTTACTCTTAATGTTTCTCTATTACATATACAAACTCAAACCTTATTCAATAATGAGTATGTAAGGTGTTTTTGTTACATTTATTTTATGTTGGTAGGCTTTAGACCGATGCATCTAATTTATTTTCCCTGGGGCAGCACAACTCTACTAAAGTTTAAAGTACAACTTTTTTTAGTTTAGCATAAGAGTATACTCAGACTCAGCTTTGTGTATTGAGACTAATTCTTCTTCCGTCCAGTCAAAGGCGACTTATGCACGCTAGAATTAGGGCAAGCAATCTCAACCCAAAGGAATCATCCTTAGATCTGGTCTTACAAGTCAACACTTGTTAACTGGCGGGTTGATCCCTCGGCTGTATAACTGATTTCTTGAACATGTATATGTACATTGCTTGAATCTAAGAAACAATATAAAACCTTCTACCTGTTTTAAATGCTTCATATGCAAAAGCACATTTCTGTTTCCAATATCCCCAGACATTTTGGTTGAAGAACTCTGTAGATGAGCAAACTCCTTGTTTTGCTCAAATATGTTCGCTGATTCAACTCAATTACAGGGGAAAGAGACCAGTGACCAGTCACCTGCCCTTGTGCCAAAGCATTATCAGATGAAACATTTCCTAGGTCACTTATGTATCACTGTTTCAGGTAATTATCAGAAGGAAAAAAAATATATACCTATATTTCAGTTAATTAAAGCAGACAACCAAGATAGAAAACAACCAATGAACCAAACACTTGCTCAGGAGTTTATGTAGTAAAAAAGCCAAGCAACATATAACTAGAATAAGAGAATAAACTCACCATAGCTGTAAGCTCAGGTGTATGCTGGGCAAGTGGCCTCTTCACAACAGTAGATGCAGCAGACTTTACATAAGATGGCTTCTGAGCTATAGGTGGTCTATTCGCAGCAAGAATATCTTCCTGCAACTTCGGGGGAGGACCAGGCGGAAGTGGTGGCCTCATCATAGGAGGGGCTCCAGGGGGAAGACCATATGGTGGCCTTGGAATCAGAGGGACCATCATTCCTGGAGATGCTGCTTGGCCAGGAAGTCCAGGAGTAGATAATGGCCCTCGCATGTCCGGAGGAGGTGGAGGTGGAGGTGGCGGAAAACGTGATATTCCTGGGGGTAATACATCTGGCTGTAAAGTAGGCATCAAGGCAGGCCCAGGAACTGGAGGCCTCGGAGGTGGTGGCGGTGGAACCATTTTAGAGAAATCCTTAGTAATAGGAGGATTATTGGCATCTGAATCTGATGGAGTAACCTCAGTTTCATTATTTATGGGCTTTGGGGGCATCCCGGGAGGGGGAGGAGGTGGAGGGAGCATAGGAGACACCTATTCAGGAAAGAAAGATAATACATCAGGGCATCTTGACATTCATAACAAAATAATCAATCTCTTTAGTATTTGAGATCTGAACCAAACAAGCATGCACCGTTATGGTTCTTAATAATGGATGTATTTTTAAATCATGAAGTAATCCTCGTGACCTTGATTCATTTATTTGCATTTTTATATCATGAAGTAATCAATCAACGTCAATGAGAGAACTTACCTGAGCAGTTTCCTTCGATGTTGAATCTTCTGGCAAAACAGACAGATTTCTCTCTTTTTCACCTTCACTAGTGCCAGGTGGAGGTGGTCGTGCAGCTTGGGGGAGGGGTGGAGGAGGAGGAAGTGGTGGTCGCATCGTAACTTGTTCTTTAGGTGGAGGGCCTGGAGGAGGAGGCGGTAAAGGTGGTGGAGGCAATGATGCACCCACATTTTCTTCAGCAGGCTTTGGGGGCATTGGAGGTGGAGGTGGTAAAGGCAAAGATGCAGGTACAACAGAGACATCTCCGGTACCATCAACAGGCAGAGGAGGGGGTGGAGGCGGAGGTGGTACAGCTAACGCAACATCCTCTGACTCTGATTTTGAAGACGACGTAGCAGTACCCGAAGAACCAGCTGATAGGGGAATTCTAGGTCCTGCAGGGCAAAGTCAAAGCATTTGAGACAGAATAAAAGCAACTGCTCTTGTGAGTCAATAATGCTATGAAAAAAAAAATTTACCTATTGATGATTTATACATGGGTGGCTTCCCAGGAGGTGGGGCACCAGAGGGATTCAGTGTCGGATGATAGTAAACAGAGTCCTGCAGGTGAAACAACTAACTAGCTAAAAGTTCATAAATAAACAGAAAGGAAATTGAAAGACATTCTATAAATCAAACAGTACTTCAGGTTTTGGGTGCTTCACTCTCTCTTCTTCTTCTGCAGTTGTCCTTCTCCGAGGGGGGCCCAGATGACTGCAGCAGAAGACAAACTACAGTTTGTAAATGAGAAAAAAAAAGAGTTGTTAAGTCTAAAAAGATGATTCAAAGAAAAAAAAAATAGATCATAAAGGAATATTGTTTTTCACCTAAACATGACTGGCGTCTCACCCTTCTCCTTCATTTTCTCTTCATACTCCTGCCCAAGCAAGTAAAGCAGACTGATCATTATGTATAAATAAAACGAGAGTAAATAAAACTTTCAGCTCCAGAGACTGTCATTGGATACAAATCGCAGCACAATGTCATGAGGGGAGAAGGAAAATGCACCTAATGACAATTACCTTCCTCTTTTTTAGGACAAGGTTAAGTGTGTCTTCTAGCTGTCTCTTCTTGTGTTTTCTTGCTTTGTCCAAAGCACCTTCTGCCTCTGTTCCAATGCGTACAAATATCGGTTAAATAAATAATTCACAAGCTGAATTTGAGAACTAAACTAGTAAAGAATAAAGAAAGAGCTTAGACAGACATACCAAATGAAAAGTAAGATGAACTAAAGTTGCAAAACACAGTGACTTAAACTAAAGAAAACACATCTTATAACTCGTTAGACTCTTTCCCTTCAGTTTTCTGTACTTCTAGATTAAGACTCATTACAGGTAAAAAGCAAGTAAAACACTGTTTATTCAGACAATGAGACTCCTTTCCAAGCAAAGGTGTAGAAGCTAATGAGCAATTCAAAAAGTTAGGATGCGGCAGACCAACAAAGTTCTTGTCTTAAAATATTAAAAAAGCAAATGTTTAATACTGTAGCAATATTTTCATTTACTTTTTGAATGGCCAGATAATGGTATCAGAACCATGAATCAATCAATTCACAAGGTCATGTCAAAAAATAATTCAGGACACTGTTTCACATATTTTCAAATGAAATGATTTGCTTACTGATGGCAATGGTAGGACTTAGGAGTCATGAAGTATATATATATATCTATCTATATATATATATATATTTCATGGAACAAGATTAAATTGGTCTTATACATATGTTGGCTCTGAAAAACTCTGACTACATATCTCTTCTAGCAAACATTAAGCAGAGATAGCATCTGTTTAGAAATCTAATCCAAGATAGATTCCATACATAGTAAAACTATGCAAAGCACACACAGGAACAAGAATAAAGATAGTATAAAAGTATCCTACAAAAAAGGGAAAGTAAAATCATGCCAGGGAACAATTAACATGGCTTAAAAAGCTTCATTAAGTAAGCTATAAAAGAAACAACAAGAAGGACAGTATACAAGTATCCTGTAACAAAAAATAGAAATGGAAGAGAAGGGACAAGTAAACCATGCCAAGTAACAATGAATATAGCTTAAAAGGCTCATATTAAGTAAGCCCTATCCCAGGGAAAGAAAAAGACAAATACTCAGTTGATCATTATTTTTCTTTTCATGCATTTCATCATTTAGAGGGCTCTATATTTCCCAGGCTTCTGAACTTATTAGGGGATTATTAGATTTTTTAGAACAAAAAGCCTGCATGTAGTCAGAAGTTCACAGAAAATAGAGACTTACTCATCATTTCTAACTTCTCAATCTGCTCCCTGATGGCTTCAGGATCTTTCTTCAAAATCCCCACCTCCCTCACCTTCTTTCTCTCTTTCTTGTTCTGTTACACATTGAATGAAACATAAAAGAGGTTAAAAGAGTCTGTTTGAATATAAATCAAAAACACCAATCTCAAGCAATTTAATAGATATTGTACCATACGGGTTAATAGAGCTAAAGTCTACCAATATTTTCTTATAGACGAAAGGCCCAGCCAAAATTGGTCAAACAAGCCAAAACCAGCCAGAATTTGCACACTGGACAATGCAGAGTCTGTTCTTTTTAAGTCAGAATGTCATTTTTTATCTTTCATTACCAATTTTTTTAAAAGCAAAAACCTAACGAAAGAAATAAATAAAACTTAAACTAACAATTCCTGAAATCCCTAATCCCCATTTTTCAAAACCTAAAAACTCTCTCACTATTTGTTTGCTTTACTTTGCATTTTGTTTAAAGAAAATTGTTACCATGTATGATTGTTGTTAGAAATTAAAACTTCTATATATATGAACATTAGTACTTTATAGATATTAAATCTACAAGCAGAAAATTCCATATTTGTATATCTTTTCCAAAATCTACATAAATATGATTTTATTTACAAGGAACATATAACTATTCCCAAATAGGAAAGGGAAGAAAGTGTAATTCCATTGATTCTTTAACTACAGTTTTGGTTTTTATGTCAAAATTTAGTAGGCTTGTAAATTAAGGATTTAGATATAGTATATTGTTTTAATTAATTTTTTAATAAACAATCTTTTTTAGGAAAAATATCTTTTTTATGTTTAACATACCCTATTGAATTAAAAGTTTTAGCATTTTCTATAAGGAGTTTAGAATTACTGAAAGAAATGTGCTTAAAGCAGTTATGCTTTTGGATAAAGTGCCAAATGCTAAATATAGATAGTTATTTGAAAAAAAATGAAAATTTACATATTTTATTATTATGTTTTAAAATAAAAAGTGTGAAATATATTAACATGGTACCAAACAATCGGGGGTACCACCTCTATACAAAAGCTTTACAATGTTGTTAACAATAAATGAAATATATTAACGTTACCCTCAAAAGCTCTAGAATTTCTCTCCTTCCAAAGAATCCAAAACAAAGATAAAAGAATTAGATTTTTCAACTTCCTCTCAACATACATCCCATTCCAAACCCACAGTTCCTCCCTAATAGATCCAGCCATCACCCAGTTAACACCAATCATACTAAAAATAGTATTTCACAATCCAGAGGCCACAGGACACCGCAACAGAACATGCACACAGCTTTCCTCATTAGCCATACACAAATAGCACCCATTTGAAATGACCAACCCCCAAGTTTTAAGTCTATCAATTGTCAAGATGCATTCTCTACTTACTTCCCATGCAAAAAAAGCAACTCTATGGGGAACTTTCGCCTTCCAGATCTGTCTAGAGCGAAAATCAAAACTTATCACATTGTTTTGTCAGTTAAGTGCTTGTAATAAGATTTGACTGAAAAGACACCATTTTATCCAACTTCCACAGCACCCTGTCCTCCCCAGCAGACACCTGTTGAGCAGCCACTAACATAAACAAATTTTCAAACTCGCAGAGTTCCCAATCCTGCAGATTTCTCAAGACATTGATCAGCCATTCAGCACAACCATTATTAATCTTGTGAGCATCCTGAATCAGCATATTTTTTGTCTGAGAAATGGAAAAGATTCTAGGAAACCTCCTCATCAAACACATTATCTATCCAAATATCTTTCCAAAATCTGATTTTATTGCCCTCGCCAGCCTTCCACAACAGATTCTCCAAAAAACTAGGCCACTGCATCAAGATTTTCCTCCATAACCTCGTACCATGGCTCTTCTAAGCCTTGTGACCCCACTGTTGTCCCAAACAAGGTCACCCCAACAGATCCAAACAATTTGTCTCCATAATCTGTCTTCCTCAAATAAATAACGCCATAACAATTTCCCTTGCAAAGCCACATTTAAATCAACAATAGACCTGATTCCGAAGCCCCCACACTTAATCGGTTTTTTTATTTCCTCCCATTTAACTAGATGAAATTTATGATTCTCGTCTTCATCACCCCAAAGAAATCTGCATTGTCTATTTTCCAGTTTTTTAGCAATATGCACCGGAACCAAAATTGTAGACAAATAATAGATTGGTAAGTTAGCCATGGTGTTTTTTATTAACCAAAGTCTCCCCCTCTTGGAAAGAAATTTCCTCTTCTAACCAACCAATCTATTCTCACACATTTCCAAAACAGGGTCCCACGGCTTAGCTCCCAATGGCAAGCCAAGATATTTAATTGGTAACGTGACTTCTCTACAGTCCAAAACACCTACAAATACTCTCCCATCCCCATCATTGCCCAAGTTAATCAATTCAGACTTCTGAAGATTGATTTTCAAACCCGACACCCCTTGAAAACATAGTAAAATACACCTCAAATGAAGGAGGTTTCTCAAATCAGGATGACAAAAGATTAAAGTGTCATCTGCAAATAAGAGATGGGACACATCAAGGGTGCTGCTGCCACGCCCAACACAGACACCTTTAAACAGTTGTTGTTCCCGAGCCTTATTCAACAACTCACCCAACGCTTCCATAACCAAGATAAAAAGCAAAGGAGAAAGCGGATCCCCTTGCCTTAACCTCTAGAAGCCGTGAAGAAATCGGATGGACCCCCATTAATAAGAACAGCAAAGGATGTTGTTGTCATGCAAGTACGCATCCAAAGTCTCCATTTCGGCCCAAAACCAAACCTTTCAAGCATGTAATCAACAAAACTCCAACTAACATGGTCATATGCCTTCTCCATATCAAGCTTACAAATGATTCTTTCTTTTCTATTAGTCACAATATCATCAACAATCTCATTAGCAGCCATAACAGCATCAAAGATTGCCTTCCCTCCACAAATGCATTTTGGTTGTCACTAATAATTTCCCCAAGCACCTTAAAATGTCTTCTAGCAAAACTTTTGCAATAATTTTTTGAATACAGCCTACCAAACTTATGGGCCTTAAATCACCAAACTCCTTAACCTCCTTCTTTTTGGGAATAAGAGCAATGAAGCTAGAATTAAGAGCCCTAACAAATTTACCAGTTTTGTGCAGCTCCCTAAATATCTCAATAACATCATCTTTGATCACATACCAGAATTTCTGCATAAATTTCATACTGAAACCATCCGGACTCGGAGCTTTGTCCCCATTACACAGATCCAAGCTCTCCTTAATCTCCTCCTCAGAAAATTCTATTTCCAGCATTGTTTTATTGGTCTCAGATAATCTCTTAAAATTAATTCCATCCATGGTAGGCCTTCTCAAATGTTCTTCTTGATACAACTTGGCAAAATAATCTTTGGCAGTCTTTCTAATCTCTGTATTTCCAGTGACTTTGCCACCATCAACCCAGATTTCAGGTATAAACTTGCTTCTTCTCCTATTGCTGGCCATTATATGAAAGTACTTCGTGTTACGGTCTCCTTCTTTAACCCACCTTTCTCTAGATTTTTGTTTCCAAGTAATCTCCTCGGCTTTGCACAGGTTTGCAAGGTCAAACTTCAGACTATTTCTCTTCTCAGTCATATACTCTCATCCAGCACACCTTCCCCCTCCATCAGATCAATCTCATTTATTTCCTGCACTATATTATTGAATGCCTCCCCCTCCTTTAAATTTTCTTCCTTGGTCCACACCTTGATCACATTCCTAACCTCCTTCAATTTTCAAACCAATCTAAAACTTGCATTACCACGAATAACAGTTTTCTTCCAAACTTCTTCAACAAACAAAATAAATTTTATGTCCGATAACCATCTATTGTCAAAACGGAAAGGAATAGGCCCCCATTGGATCCCATCCGTATGAAGGCAGATAGGATAATGATCAGACGTGGGCCTTTGAAGTGTCTTCTAAAAAACTCCTGGTAATTGTGCCAAAAAAGCGGGGGTAACCAAGAATCTATCAATTCTGGAACATACAGGTTGGACCCTCAAATTTGTCCAAGTCCATTTTCCTCCAGAAAGAGGGAGGTCAACTAATTCCAGTTTATCCACCAACTCTCTAAACTGGACAGCATCAGCCATCCTCATATTATTGTTGTTTTCGTCCTCTCCACATAGTGTCATGTTGAAATCCCCCCCAACAATCCAGAAGTCACCCCATTTCCTCCTATTAGCTTCAAGTTCCTTCCTCAACTTCTCCCTCTCCTCAATGTTGCCCCGACAGTACACACCAGTGAAAGCCCACTCACAATTTGAATTGTTACTCTTGAATAAACATGATATAGTAGTTTCCCCTTTAATCACCTCTAAACATTTCACATTTTCTTCATTCCACATAAGGATAATACAACCAGCCGTACCTACCGCTGGGATACAGTGCCAAACAACCTCTTTCAACCTCCACATGCTGTGAACAGTCTCACCCAAACACTGTTCTCCTGCAGGCAAACAATATCTGGCTTCCATTTTGCCAAACAACCTCTAATGATCAGTCTCTTGCCTCAACTATTAACACCCCTCTCATTCCAAAAAATTATTTTACCAATCATAAAATCAATAGGTTTTTTCCCCTCTCAGACTCTTCACCCCCTTCCTCTTTCCCTCATAGTTTACTGTTGATTCAAGTCTTTTTAATTCTCTTGAAGTAGCCTCAACAGTTCTTTTCTTTCCTTTCGGCAGTATAAGGCTCATTTTCTTTTTTTCATTTCTCCTCTTTTCTATCTCAGAAAAAAATAGAAAAGCTTGAGCTTTCATACCTTCCATAGAGATCCCCATAGCTTTACTGAACTTATGAATATTTTGAGACGCCCACTGCGAACACCCCGTCGCAAGCCAATTCTCGATTTCAATTCCATCTAAGCTCAGCAAGAATTTCTTCCACTTCAGGATCCACCAATGGGACAAGCTCCCTGATTTGCTCTTCATCTTCATACAAAACCATTGCCTGACCTTGACCTTCGACCTCCTCTTCTCTGTCAGGCTCCTCCACATGGGATAGCACATCGTCGAACTTCTCTTCTTCATCTTCACTCAATTTTGCATCGCACTGCCCTGATGTTACCACCTTCTCATCCTCCGTATCTACCACCAACAAAGGATCTAGGGTTTCAATCTCCGAAACCACATTTTTCTTCACTTCCGTTTTCAACAAACCGGGTCCCTCACCTTTTAACCCCAAAGGCTCGCCCCGGGTTGGGTTAAAATTAATTCTGCCTTTTGACCCGTCATCCCGCCCGTTTACATCCATCAACCCTGGCCCAGCTGACCATTTTTCTTTTTCCATCCATGTGAATCTTTTCTTTTCATATGGCCCACCTTTCATGTGCGAGGTGCGGCCCAAAGGACCTGAAATTTGCATATTGGGCCCTTGTCTTTTCGGGTCGCTTTTTACCAAACCAGGTCCCCATGCTTGTCGCACTCCTCTGCCTTACCCGATTCCCTTTTGCAATCTTCCTTTGCACCACCGCCACGTAAGTTTGTGCAACACCAAGTGTCTCGATGAAATGAATAGATCCAGCATAGTGAGGGCATTTAACAATCGCATTCCATGGAGTGGTGTGATGAGATGTGTCCACCAACTCCACCCCACCATTTGCCTGAGCCATTAGTGCACGCACCCTTCTGTTAGTGAGTTCAAAGGCCGCAACCATCAGTTTCCACCACCCTTTTCCTTGATCTCCCCCAAGAAAAAATATTTTTTCGCCTTTTCCTTCCATTGAACAGACAAAACAACATACTCCCCTCTTTTATTGCTTCCGTAGGATATATCCATAAGTCATAGTTGCTTCGCACCAAATGTCTAGCCCACTTTCCACCCTACTGGCTCCAACAAAAGTCCTCTAAAGATTCCAATAACCATTCGAACTCCTCCTTATTCAGGAAGATCGACCTCCTAAACCCCGCACCATTTTCACTGATTCTTAGACCATCCATGTTTCTCCCAATACAAACCAAATCATATGACTTATTTTCGATGGCCAGAAATCTTCGGCCATCAGACATGACTCAATCTTCAGCCTAGGTCGGCCACTTATGGCCGGCAGTAGGCTGACAAGTAGGACTGTAGCGCCCTTGGTTCTTGAAGAGAGAATTTTAGAGAGAGAGATAATTTCTCTGTTCATGGGAAGACATTTATAGCAAAAGGAAAAATATTAGACTCATTACATATTTTATTATAAATATTTTTATTACTTACATTGCTTTACGTATATATTGCTAACTTCAAGAGGATATCCAAAGAGTAACTAAGTAATTTTGTTAGATAAAAAAATAAGAACCCAAAAAGTTAGTACTATAGAATTACAGAGTTAATTTTCTACCTTTTTAAAGTCACTTTTTAAAATTTAATAAACACTGACCTTTTTCTTACAAAAAGCAAATACTAGAACAAGAGTGCTTAGAATCGCTTATAAGCATCAAATAAGCAATTTCAAACACAATCAAAAGAACATAACCTTGACATGTTAAAGTACGTTTATATATATATATATAATATGTGCATACGCTTGCATAAGTTTGAGAAGAGATTTGGATACGGGTTATGGGTAATGATTGGATGAGTTAGTGAAGAGATTTGGGCATGGAAAGGCATTCGAAGGGATAAGGGATCCAAAAAGGATTTAGTCCTCATCCCTTTGGCCACATTATGTGTTATTCGGAAGGAGACAATTTGGAGGATTTTTCAGTGCATAGAATTGTCTTTGATAGAATTAAGGATGCTTGATTCCATAATCAATAGTTTTTATTAAAGCTCATCATCTTTATTCTCTTGAGGATTTAGGTATTTTATTGATATTTTAATAATTTTTAAAGCTTTGCATACAGGTTGCACCCTCTTAGCATTTTGTACATAGTTTCTATAACTTTTCTTTCAAAAAGGTTATTAATAGACACATACATAAGTTTGTAATAAGTCTGAAATGTTAGATTAAATTCATGGATATTTATATATAGCACACCAGAGTTAAAACTGAGATGCTTGCTGATACAGTATTTATACTATGACCTTAGGTCCACACTAGATACAGTAATACTGCATAACATGGAGACCTGAAGTCATCCTCTTTATTCTTGTCAGGATCTTGGAGACCTTTTAGATATTTTGGTTGACATGTAAATTTCTCTTTCTTCTTGTAAGGATCTTGGGGACCTTATAGATATTTTGCTTGACATGTAATGTTGTATATAGCTTACACTCCCTTGGCACAAATGATTTTTTTTGGAAAAAAGAAACAGGTACCATGGAAAAAAACACCAAGAGAAACATTTAACAAGTTAAAGACACTGCAAAATGCCAATTTACCGAGGAATACTAACTTTCCCACTTTTTGTTATCAATTAAACTCACACTACCAGTACCATCAAAACTATGCACTTGTGTCTCAATATTTTGCGTATTCTCTTTCTTGTTCACTTTAAAGATCAAGTCCTAGCCCTAGCTCGGAGAATAATACTTCCAGAGAGAAAGAGACATCTTTTTCGTAAATCAGTTTACATCTTGAATCTATCCCTAATTAGGCAAGGTGTTGTAGTTAGTTCCCAACGTACCCTAATATTATCTGCTTTTCCCTAATTGTGAGCTGCGTTTTGCCGAATTATACCTAATAAAACCTCCTAATCCACAAAAGAAAGACAATTTTTCTTCATAAAAGCCCAATTACCCTCAATTACAGAAACTGCAAACATTTTCCCTCCTACATAAAAACAATGCCGATTATCTTGCATTGTACATGAGGGCAACCAATGAAGAACTAGAGTTAACAAAAAGCCAAACTACGCTATACAGCAGTCTAATATACTCAGATAGAAGCTACCATTAGAAATGGAGTATAGAGATGCATTATTTTGGAAGGGGAGAAAAACACACCCGCTTCAATTCTTTTTTGCGAAGCTCCTTACGGTACGCGTCGGTAGGGTTCATCACCTTACCTCCCTTTGTCGTTTTCATCTTTGCGAATCTTCCTCTTCCTCTCTCGGTCTAAAATATGTATCAATTAACTTTCCTAATTTCTTGGTGCTTCAACTCGAAATCGCAGGCGAACAGAAAACCCAGGCTCAGCGATTCAGCGGCGAAAAAACGAGGCGGAAATCCTCCTTAAAGAGAAGATGTTATTAATCTGTTAGTATTTATAGGTTTGGAATGCAATTACTGTTATGCCCCCCAGACTTCCACTTATTATCGGCCTAGACCTGAGCCTGGGCCTGGGCCTGGGCCTGGACCTGGGCCTGGACCTGGGCATGGGCTGGTTTGAGTCAACAAATTGTGTACGCATTTTACTTTAGAATTCCAATAATGAAGCACCAAACAAGTGGATACATAGGAATCCAAATCTAATCAATAACTCATGATATGATTTTCTACATTCTCTGTCTTCCCTTGCTTATGTTCTTCATGTAGCATTTATACCGAATGATTTTACGAAATTACGTCGATACTTCTACGTATTATGAATAATATAAAATTTTTTTTCCTCTTTCTGTATAAGAACATGTAAATTATAATTTTACGGTCTGTAACTTAGTGTATAAGTAACATGATATTTAATAGTTAAATATTATTATTTTAATTGATATCATGAGTTCGATTTTTTTTTTCTCTTCTCTTTGAGATTACGTAGTATGTTTAGAAGAACAAAAAAATGAAAATATAAAATATCTAAGTATAGTGTTTTTTAATATAAGTAGGTGATTTTATTTTTTGGTTCAAGATTAAAAATATTTTAAAAAATCTAATTTGGAGCCTTTAATTTTATTTTTGAGAATCTCTATACGAAAAATTATTTCAATACAATTTTATAATTCTCTGAAAATTGGATAAGTTTTTAAATGAATTTTTTTAAAAATTGATTTATATTATAAAATGGAATATAAATATATATATATAATAATTTTCTTATGAATATTATGTAAAAGAATATTTTTAAAAATTTTAAAGAGATAAAAGTAAAAAGAATTTGGATTAAAAATTATTTCAAATTAACTAGTGCCGTCATAAAAAAATTTCGCCGTAAAATTTTAAATTTTAAAATGAAAAACTTTTTACTTTCTTTTAAACTCAAAACTTTGGATCTTATTGTGCTTCATCTTGCTATCTATATTTAAATGAGAGATTCTTGAGGTACCATTTAAAATTTCTTTGAGCTTTTAGGTAATTCATATGTTCATTTTCTTGACAAGCTTTTGGGAGATCTTACAATTAAAACTTGACTGAATTATTTGTAAGATATACTTTCATCCGTTAAACTTTACTTTGAAGTTTTTCTTTTTGTAAGAGTTTGTCTTAAATATTATTCTTTTATACAATTAAAATTTGGAAAGACATTTATTTTGAAAGAATTTTTGTAAATAAAACTCTTGAAAACTAAACCTTTCTTTCAATCAAATTTTTAATTTTTTTTATACCTAATTAAGTTTTATTTTGTACATTTTGTCCTTGTAACGAGAAAATTTAAATTTGTTATGTAACGGCCCCGGAAATTTAAAATGAAATGTGTATTAAAAATATCAAATGCGGAAGCGAAGTCAAAAAATTCGATTAACATCCCTTACACTAAAACCAAAAACGTGCTCACAAAATATAAAAGATCAAACTAACTAAAGGAGAAACTCGAAAGTAAAAGCTACGGATATAACTATGGAGTCTTTAGGCGTCCCCTTCGTCGTCCTCATGCGGAACGGGCTCGGGAACAATGTCTTCCTGATCTGAAATGATTAAATAAGGAATGAGCTACACTAACCCAGTAAAGACATCACGATATCTCACCGTCACGGAGGTAAAGGTGGGTAGAAAACACAAAAAGACCAATGGAGTATAATTTACAACAAATTCTTTTATCAATAATAAATCCTTCACCATCCACTTACCTCGGTGAAATTCATAAAACAGTATACGAAAGCAATGACATTATCATCATCATGAAATCATATATAAACTGTATAACATAATACTTATCACGCCTTTTGTAATTCAATCATTACACAACATATTTTCCTCATTTACCAGCCCACTAGTATCCATGGGGATCCATAGGGGTCCCGCTACCCGTTAACCCTTAACACTTGAAATCAGATTCCAGGGCCGTCCCCATACCCCGTCCGGTATGAGGGTGAAACGGGCCGTCCCCATACCCCGTCCGGTATGGGCGCCAAATCACATAAGGTCTTCATACCTCGTCCGATATGAGAGACCACAATCCCGGTAGGGTTCCCTACGGACCCGGTCCGTCCACCATCTCCCAGGATATCTAGTCAAGCTGACCACATTATACAATTACCAATTTACATAATCTTTCATTCTCCTTTCCCTCAGTCAGCATCATCAATTCACATACAAACAAGCAAAACAGTAATTTATGCCAAACAGGCAACATACAGCATCAGTATCTTAGTCATTCAATCCATAATCAATCAAACAGTAAAATATGCACACGAAACTATAAAATGAAAACATCAAACCTCATACTGCATTTAAAACTGTAAAGTAGGCCAAATAACAGTTAACCGACAAACACACTAGACTCGGGCTCCATTAGCGACCTTAAACAATTTCACACATTCATTGATTCAAGAAATACCGTTTTATCATTTTTGAACTTTAACACCGTGATAGAAAATAGGGTGAGGGGTCCTTACTCGTTTCGGGGTCCGAACACGGCTTCACAGTGCGCCTACAGGCTGTCCCTAATTTTTTCTGAATTTTTCCCGGGTAACTGAAACGCACTACCGGTACCTGCACGTGTTCCAAAAAATCCCAAATTAGCCCAGGGCCCCTTTTTGGCCAATATTGCAATTCCGGCACGGCGGCTCCGCCGTGCTCCGGCGACGGCGCCGCCGCAAGTGGCGCCGATTCGCCTCGGTTTGGCCCGTTTTCGGCCGAATTCGGCCACACTTGTATCGGTCCTTGCGATAAACAACCCTAGGGCCCTCGGGGGGGCCAAAAAATTACGGAAAACCGAA